CGATTCAGTAGGTTTTGAAGGTTTATGTATAATTGGGAATAAATAATTTTTGCATACACTATTTGATACATGATATAGACCAAGGTCATCAATTGTTATCCATTTATCAATTTTGGTATGGGTCTATAAATAGTTATATTGTTTTTTTCTTTGTAAAAAAGAAAAAGCTATGCTGTTGGTTTTTCCGAGACTATTTGGGTGGTCAACAAAGACCAGCTATTCCTTTAATTTGTCCACATGTAGGCCCAATGTATGCTAAAAATGTATTAATGTTTAATTATGTTTTATTGGGTTGAATAAACATATTATCAAGCTCAAAAACTATTGAATTCCACATAATAATATGTACATCAAAATCTGGAAAGACCTAAGGGCTACAAAACTATCCAATTCTTAACATATTCTTGAAATTTGCAAGTCTTCTATATATGAAGTCCACTTGCAAAATTAGTTCTCTAACGTCCGATGTCTTATTAAATACATTGTGATGGAATTAATTTCTTTTTTTAATGTATATTATATAAAAGCCTCTGGTGGACCAAACTATTCGAAAGATGAGTTAATGACATGGATATCATTTTGTTGTTTTGTTATTCTTTTGAGTCTTCGACCATATTTCTACAGAAAACTTACATATTGATCTCAATTTATTGGTTTCTTATATTTCCTCCCTTTTGCAATTAGAGTTGGTGTTTATGCAAAAAGATGAAATCAGTTTGCTATATTCCATCTGTTAATTGTTACGGAATTGAAGTTAGGGTTTATATCATCATAAGTCATAACTATGTTCTAATACTCATGTTGATAATTGGTTGTTGCTGAAATTTGTTCAAACTGTTTGGTGATTTGAAGAGAAACAAAAAGTGAAACAAAAAGTGATCATTAAGGGGTCGTTTGATAGTTGCTGACTGAGAAAGTGCTGATTGAGAAAGATCTGTCTGAGTAATAAGTTCTGACTGAGTAAGAAACTATACTGTTTGATTATACATCTGAGTAAATGTACTGATTGATGCAAAATGATCATTTTACCCTGATGTTCTTTATAATAATAATAATAATAATAATAATAATAATAATAATAATAATAACAACAACAACAATAATAATAAGAATAATAATAATAACAATAATAATAATAATAATAATAATAATAATGTATACAAAAACTTCCAGCATAATAGACATTAAATATATTATTTTAGAGATTAAAACACAAAAAACCCTTTAGCTTGTTGGTAAACATCATTATATGTATAAGGGGGACCCGAGTTCAATTCTTGTAACCTCCCATTTCACTTGTTTTTATCCAAGGCCAAGGGTATTATTATAAAATTTTGTTGATCGAGTCAGCCAAAAACGTCTGACTTGACTCGGTGAGACGCATATCAAACGGGGCCAAAGTCACAAATTCAAAGAGTTTATTCAGGGCAAAAAATAGAAAGATTTTTTGTATGCAAACACTTTATCCAAGAGTTTTTGACTATATAGGTGTTTTTAAAAAATTTATTTATCCAATGGGTATACTTTTAAACTTATTTATCATCGGTCCTATTTTAGACACATCAATCTACAACACCAGTCTATATTATTAGGTTTACTTTTTAGGTTAATGATGGTAATTATTATCATATAAATATTTTTTTGACTTTACTTTTTAAATCATAATCACAATCTAATTATAATTTGACCAACTTTTATTATTAGTTCATTATTACCTAATCATAAATTATTATTATTTAATAATTACATTTTTATTATTAATTTTATTAATATTAATAATTTTATATTTATTTTTTATTAAGATAAAAAAAACAAGAATAATATAGTTTTCATAATAAAATAACATAAATAATATTATAAAAAATTAAAATTCCAAATAAATTTTCATTAACCAAATATCATTGATATTATAAATAATATTATAAGAAAAATAAAATACAAATAAATCTTCATCATTTTTTTTAATTTTAAATATTACTAACAAAAATTCGAGACACAAATAAACAATAACTAATCATCTACAATCACAAAAGATCTTTCTGTATGTTTGAGTCATTTATGAAATTCTAGACACGACTTATACATAGTTTGTCATTGGGTTGCGGACGGGTCTTTATGGCGGATCCATAATGCTGAAATAGGGGCATCAGGTACTCTCCTTCTAACTATACCATCACATAGTGATTAGTGTATACAAGTGTAATGTAAGGACACGATGATTTTGCAACTCGGGACCTCTCCATAGAGGGAAAAAGGTCACAGAGCCTACCATGGTAAAAAAAAAATTAGACGATCACCAAACCTATTGGCTATCAAGATACTTGTCTTAGGCATAAGCATATAGTGTTCTGGTGGTGATGTCCTATCTGTCGTGAAGAAATATAATGAATCAAGTACTCCATCGCATCCAATGAAAACTCTAGAATAGTCTTCATATGAAGTCAATAACTCGTCATATAATTGTGGACGAATGAAAAGCCACTCATTTTATCATACTTAGACAAACCGTTATCGATCGAAAACCACAATATCCATCACTCATTACATTTTGTATACATGTGACGTACAGATGAAATATTGATGGAATTTCCTTCAACAAAGAACTATGTTCCATCGGTGCTTCCTCTTTCAAGTCAAACTGGCACGACCATCGACCTGTTGGTTCCTTATTCAAGTCAAACTGGTACGAACATTGTCCTATTGGTTCCTCATTCATGCCCATGAAGAATGAACTATGCGTAGTTGGTTCATAGTTCAAGTCAAAGAATGATGAATTATGCCTAGTGAGTTCATCGTTCAAGTCGAAGAATGATGAACTATGGCTAGTTGGTTCATCGTTCAAGTCGAAGAATGATGAACTATGGCTAGTTGGTTCAACGTTCAAGTCGAAGAATGATGAACTATGCCTAGGTGGTTCCTGATTCAAGTCTGAACAACTGTATCGATGAGGAGCTTGACTTTGATGGTGACCACACTTCACTTTTGGGCGTCCACGGTTATTTTTCTTAACCGAATGTTCATTGATCATTATTTTTTTGAAGGATCGATTATCTCTTCCATCTTTCCTATATAACCGTATTTGACATGATCTGGTTGATTGTTGAATTTTTCCTTCCACCTTTGCATATGATCATCAACATTAAGATTTCCATAATCCACAGATACACAAGGCTTAAAATCAAGCGTTCTCAAAAAAATATCAATTGAATCCAACGGAATAGGTGAACCTACAATAAAAAAGGTAAAATATTATAAAGTGATTATAGATATAAAACTTGTCAATTTAATACAATAGATTTGGCATACATGCATCAACATACATCACAAGTCCGTAAGCGCATGGTAAACCAAAACATGTCCGTAGTTGACAGCCACAATTCTTAGGAGTTGATACAAATTCTTTTAACCGATGAAGCTCTTCTAAGATTTTATCAAAAGCATGCTTTGAAACATGATGTCACAGTGAATTGAATATCTCATCCTTAAACTTTGGTTTACGAATGATTATGCTCCTTGTGAAACTCTTTTTGATAGCTGTGTCTTGTGACTGTATAATTGTTTCAATAACATATATGAATTTATCCAAATCACTTTTTCCAGATGCTAGGTGTTTTTTTAGCATAACGTGTTGGCTCTCAACTCTATTTGTTGTTGAATTTCCAAAATTGGTACTTTTGTGAGTCCACAATGATACAAATTTTTCGGGATACTTCTCCAACCAAGTATTGTAAAGATACCCAAAAACAACTAAAATGTGAAGAAAAATCAAATTAGTACGATTGAATGAATATTAATCATTAAAGAAATTAAGAGTTCAGGATATATGTTAATGATACATGGATCTTTGGACAATAACGATTGAAGGTCTGCATAAGCTTGCATGTATGCACTCAATGTCGGAGATTCGACTAATTTCTTCCATATTGGATGAAGAGAACCCCAAGTCTTATATGATTTGATACGTTTGCTACAATGCTTTGTTTTATCATTGAATATATGTCACATACAAAGTAAATGACTACGTTATGGAAAAACATTTTCGCACACCTTCATCAACACCAAATCTCTATCGGTGACGATGACACGAGGACAAAAAGAGTCATTAACTGTCAATTTCAAACAAGTCAATTCAAACAAGTCAATGCCCACCTATAGTTGCTTGTTTTTTCACTATGCATGAATGCAAAGGCTATAGAAAACGTCGGTCTCGTAGAAGTGACACCAACAATCACTAGAAAATGAAGATTATACTTGTTTGTTTTGTATGTAGCATCCATCAACACCACATATGGAAATGTTTGCCACATCTTTAACGATATTGGGTGCATAAAAAACAACTCCTCTAACTCGTTAGTACTTTCGTTTAAATGATACTCATAATTATACCCTTTAGTATGCAAAATGTGCATGACATTTTGTATCAGGGTTCTACCTTCTCATTGAGATATCGTAAACTTATGGCGACAATTGTATATAGTTTTTAGTGAAGACATGTTATTTTCATTCTATTGCTTTATTGTTGACAAAATATCTAGTGGTTTAATATTCAGCTCTGTCAAATCATTGACGAAACGAGTCTCTTTATCCGACAATCGCATTGCGAATGAATGACCATCCATATACATTGATGGTTCATGATGGTGATCATCACGTACGACCTTTAAGTTCCAACCATCATGTGCCTTCAAATACCTTGCTATCAATTCGAATGGACAATTAATTTTTTTGTTTCCGTATTTTTACTTCTGGATATACCACCACGATCACAACAAAGAAATACTTTAGAGGTGAATCCAAAAGTTGTCGCCTTCGATCGTTTAGTGACTGTAACAAAACTTTGAGAACGCGCCACATTTTGTACCTAATTCTTCTTCAAGAGATCTAAAAACCTAAAATTTAAGAAAATTTTAATGTTGAAAATCGATAAATTTATCAAATAAATATATACATATAATATACTTCTCTCTCTCTCTCTCTCTCTCTCTCTCTCTCTCGTTAAAATGGTTGCCAAGTCGTCGGATCACTGCAACCACCAAGGTTCACTGGATCACTAGAACCACCAAGGAGCCGATGTCAGACCACCCTAACTACCGACTCGCCACCTCTCTCTCTCTTTCTCTCTCTCTCTCTCTCTCTCTCTCATATTTCAGATTATGTGTCTTTACTATTTCAGATTGGTGTTTGTGAGGTGTGTTTTTTGTGTGTATTTAGTGTAAGATAAATATATAATGGAAGTTAAGAGAGAAAAAAAATTATTGTATTTTCTGTGACGTATTTCCGGTGATAAATGCTCCGGCGACGAGCAACGTATTTCAGATGATATTTTCGGGAGTATCTTCGGTGATATTGACGTATTTAGTTTAGAGTTTTTTTTTTGTAAATGATTTTTTATTTTTTATGTAATTTGAATAGTAAATTTATACTAATATATTTTATAGTTTTTTTGTATTTGTTTTTTGAAAATATAAACTTTGATAGTAAATATATTGGAAAAGATGATCTTGGAAACACAAAGTCAAAATTGACTTTAAAATATAGGTAACAGAGGAGGTTAGATTGGTATGTATAAAAAAATTGTCATTTACCATATGATGGTTATTTAGCAATTTAATTTAAAAAAAAAACAATCATGCCCTAATTTACTTTTTTATTTAAACCAATTTTTACCCTTCCTCTTCTTCCATCTTCAATGACTGCATGACTCCAATAATTAGAATCGATTTCAGTGACTTCGACGACAAGAGCATCATCTCCGACACATCACTGCCGACGACTCCGGTGGCGACCCAGCGTTGACAGTTAATCAGCAACTTCAGCCAATATCGTTCCAGGTACGTTTCGAATTAGAACTTCAATTTTAGGTTGTAATTTCTTCGATTTTTAGTTTCGATTCATTTGAAATTCAATTTTTGATTTCTATATTTGTGAAATCGATTTCTGTTTGATACGATTTTGTGAAATTCGATTTTTAGGCTGTAATTGCTTCGAGTTTTTAGTTTTGATTTGTTTGAAATTCAATTTTTGATTTCTATATTTGTGAAATCGATTTCTGTTTGATTCGATTTTGTGGAATTCGATTTTTAAGGTTGTAATTGATTCAATATGTTTAATCACAGGTTGGTTTATTTGATCGGATGTTGTTTGATTATTGATTTCAATATGTCCAATTACACTTTCGAATTTTGTTTTTTGTTTTTCTGATTTTATGTATTTGATTGTAGATGGATGCTAATGTCATATTAGACATTGTTTAGAATGAGGATTTCCACTCAATCTCTCAAGTTGTTGCAAGAAATGCAATAGCAATTGATAATGAAGTTGTTGCAAATGATGTGTTAGAAGATGGAATTGGAGAAGAATATGGAATTAGAGAAGAAGATGATGAAGAATCTTTTGCAGTTCCTTCAACTTTTACTACTATGGAGGAAACAAATATGACTATTAATAACAATTGGCTTGTGTCACAATTAACGAACAAGAATGATTTTACACAAGAGTTAGGAAAATATTCTTTCAAGGATAAAGAACTTACTAGAGCTATCAAGCTTTATAGTATTAGGACACATAAACAGTTTGAGGTTGTTGAGACACGTCCAACTCTATAGACCATAAGATGAAAGTTACATTTACAATCCAGTTACAAATGGTAAGTTCGTGCAATCAAACGAAAACGAAGTGGATATTTTGAAGTTACAAAGTATATCAGTCCACATACTTGTTTACATGATAATATTTCTCAAGACCATCCAAATCTAGATGGATCTTGATAGTCTAGGAAACCAAACATCTTATTAAAGAGCAACCTTCAATTAGTATTCCTGCTTTGAGAGCTAAAATAGTCAATAAATTAGGTTATATTCCTTCATACAAAAAGGTTTGGACCGGAAAACAGAAGGCAATTGAACAAGTGTTTGGCAATTAGGAAGAATCTTATTCTGTTTTACCCAAATTTCTATGCACAGTTCTAAAGTTTAATACGGGGACTATATAGTTTCGATCTCAACCAATGAAGAACCGATGGATGTTTTTTTGGGCTTTTGCCCCTTCTATTAAGGGGTTTGTACATTGTCGACCGATGATTAGCATTGATGGCATACATTTGTATGGTAAGTACAAGGAAACGGTGATGATTGCAATGGGAGTTGATGGTAATCATCAGGTTTTGCCACTAGCATTTGCAGTTATAGAAAATGAATCATATGGTAGTTGGAATTGGTTTCTTTCTTATATCAAGATTCATGTGGTAAAAGAACATGAAGGTATTTGTTTAATTTATGATCGTCATCTTGGAATTAGGAAGCTAAATCCACAAGCTAGACAATGGCTAGAGAGTCGTCCACTTGAAAGATGGACACTTGCACATGATGGTGAGAGGAGATATGAGTTGCTCACAACAAATTTGTCGGAGATTTTTAATAGTGTCCTTAAAGGTGCCCGTATTTTACCAATCACGGCTTGTGTCCAACTTACTTTTTATAGATTGGTGCATTAATTTAAGGTGAGACACCCTTTAGGAAATAGTTCACGAGCTAATGGAGATGCATATACCCCTCATGTTCTTGTCAAACAAGTAGCTTTGATGTCAAAGCAAGTGCACATTCCTTGAGATCTTTTAATCGAGAGAAATGTATATTTGAGTTGATAACTCAAAGATGAAGAAATGTGCAAGTAGTTAATTTGGAGCAGAAAACTTGCACATGTAGTAAGTAGGAAGTGTTTAAATATCATTGTTCTCATGTCTTGAGTGCATGTGCCACATTTTCTTTGAATAATTGGTAATATGTTAATAAATATTATTTAATTGTAAAATATTGTGATACTTGGGTTTCTGAATTTCCCCCCTCCTCATAAAGCGTATTGGCCACAATCATTGTTTAAAGAATTGCTTCCAAATTTAAAGCTCTTACGAAATAAAAAAAATGTCGTCTCCGCTCAACAAGACTTCGAAATAGAATGGACATTAAAGAATGAAGAAAAGTGAACATTTGTGGAATTTGTAAGCAAAGTGGTCACAATCGAAAAAAATATCCGTCTAAACCAAGGTAAATTAAGACATTCAATATTTTTTTGGTTCATTTGTATAACTTTATATCTTATTTATTTATTTATTTATTTTGTATTTTTTGTAGATAATGGTTATAAATAAAAGTTATTTGGAATGTTTCTTATTTTATTTTGTAACAAATGATTGGTGGGTTTGTATTTAAAATATTTTACTTATGAATTTTTTTTAGTTTAAGATGATGTTTGTTGATTTAAATTTAAAAAGTTGTGTTACAGTGAAGGTTTATATATATATATATATATATATATATATATATATATATATATATATATATATATATATATATATATATATATATATATATATATTCCCGAAAGGTTTAGGGAACAATATACTTTATCAGCTTCAAAGTTTTGGCACAAAATTTTGTAGAGATTGCCGCTTTTACTCCTCTTTCATCCTCTTTCATGTGGGTTTTAGACTAAAATTATAAATTTTGGGAATTTTTATCCACCCATCGTCTATCTCACCCGATCGGTTGCACCGTCTTTACTAATCTTTCTCTCATTTTCTTCTTTATCAGATCGATTATTTTCGTCTTCCTCCTCTATATGAACCCACACACCGTCGAAATCGTTGGCTTCACGTTGTAGGCTTCCAATCGACTTTTCTACCTTCGAACCCAAACCCAAACTGCCATTCATCAACTTCTTCTTCTCCACATCTACTTCCCACCATCTACTCTAATTGATTTGTTTTCTACAATCATCGACATCTTTGAACTGCTACATCTCTCTTCTACATAGCTCTTGCTCGCTTTTGGAATAGGTCCAGGTAAGTGCTTGAAAATCCACCACCTTTGCTTCACTTGCTCGACATGTTTACGTGGACCGGCTGTATAGGTAGTGATCGGAACTCTGGAAGGCCGATAATAGACTGGGATTGCAACAGGTGAATCGGCTTAGCCTAACATCAATCTGGTACTTTATATATACATACATTTCTTGGGTTTATGAATTATTCAAATTTTGTGTTTCAGCGTATTCAACGCCACCGAAATTGTTGCAGTATCTTTAGGTTCCTGTCAATTGACGAGCAAAAAAAAAAAGAATGTGTGTATGATTGGGAACGGGAGAGGTTCCGGTTCTCTTGAGACATGGCTCCTGCTCATACGCTGCTTCTCTGCAAAGTCCATATCAGTGAAAGCTCAAAGCTTAGACCACCGGTTTGTTTCATTGGATTATAATTTCTATTAACTTTATAATTCCATCCAATTTTACCTACAGTTGTCTGTGTATTGGTGTTTGACTAACAGGTGTTGGGTTGAATGTTTTACATAAATAATTATATCAAGGGATTATTGTTTCCCTAGATTTGTTCGCTAATCGGGAAAAGCAATCACTATCTCAAAACGATGCTCAGAAAATTGAAAGTTTGCTTACCGAATTCGTTCCTTATCTAGACTATGTCATTCGATTGTTAAGGCTTCAGCTGATTGCATGATTGATGCAAAAGAAAACTTAGATTTATCAAAAATTTACCAGTATGTTTTTTTAAAGTCTTTTATCATTGTAAAAGTCAAACTTACTTTGATCCTTAAGGAGGAGTATTGATCATTGTGCCACATGTTATTTAGATCCTACGGGAGCAGATTTATTGGCTTGAAGCTACAAATCAGGATCTGTGTCGCAAACTTGATGAGAATCGCAGCAAATGCGATACTATTGATCATCAATCTGTCTCTAAAGTATGTAAAAGTTTGTAACTTTTGTCAACATTTATAAAAAATAACCAATTCTGCTGCAATTTTTCAGGTTGGTGATTCCTTTTGCGTGAAAACTTAACGGTTTAAAAGGGTTTTGCAAAGTATCAATTCATCAAATTATGAAATGACTGAAAGTGGTAAGCTTAAAAATATTATACAAATGTAAAATTATTTGTATTTAATCTTTTGTTAATGACAATAAATATAAGCAATTCTGGTGTGATATAAAAAGAAACAACAAAAGAATTGGAGCATCCCCTTCTCCAAGACTCCACGAATAAAGGGTTACATGAATTAAATAAATGACTAAAACAGAAAGAATCAGAAATGAGAGTTTTTGAAGGATCGGATACCATGAGTTTTAAGCAACATTTTTGAAAGAAATTAATGAAACTTGAGGATTAAAAAACAGGCAGCAGGTAAAAACATAAGCATAAAAACACTATAGTTTTAAAGTTGGATTAAAAAAAATTATTTAAAAATTGATGATTGATGTTTTCTTGCTCATTTTTTTAATTGTTTGTAGTTAAATTCAAGTCTCTTGAATCACAACTTAATAATTATAAATGTTTATGTCTTCTTAAGCATTTGATGAATATCTAATTAACATGTCATTCTTTTTGTGGTTGTTGCTTCAAGGTCTTTGAAGATAAATACCCTTCAAGTAATATTAGTTTCATGTTCATCATAAATCTGCTGTTTTTGGCCCGTATACCAACTATCATGTAAGTAAATCATAAAGCTCATAGTATAATTATTATTTAATTAAAATCACAAAACTTAATTTCCAAATAAATTCATGAATAAAAATTGGTTAAATTGCAATTTTTCATTCCATTCTAGAATCAAGTGAAGGATTAACAAAATGGAAAGAGTCCCATTCCAAAGTAATGGAATGAGTGATTCAGGGACGGTTTTACTTGGTGTCCTGGTGTGGTATCGGCAATACCTAATTTTCCCGTACGCAATGGAAAAAATTTCGATTTTTTTGGTTTTTTGCCTATTTTTCATGCCCCGGCAACACCTTTTCAACCGCAGCAACACCTAATGTGTATTTCTGCGTCCGTCCCTGGAGTGATTCCATTCCGTTTTGATTCCATGAAATCAATAGGTAAATTTATAGAATCAAATGTTAAAAATTAACTCTCCAAATGCACTGCAGGTGTATGACTAAGTTTCTGATTGGTCTCTTTTGGGTGGGAATGTTCCATCACCTCTACAATCCGGGATGAAAAAATATTGTAGGTTTACAAAAAAAAAAAAAAAAACTTATCCACCTTTGCAATATAACCATAAAAGTTTTTGGTCAAAATGTGGTAGGTTGAGAGTTGACCTACAGACAATTTTTCAACCTGTGTTGAGATTCGATGAATAATTAAGGGCCATTGCAGAAAATAACAATGTAATTTACTTTTTTTTTATCGTAATAATATTGTAATCTTATTTTTATTACATAATTATCTGGCTTCACACTTTCTCCGAGACCATATCAGAGAGCATTGTGCCTTCCTTGGTCTCTAAATTTTTACTTGCCCTTGATAAAAAAAAATAAAAAAAATTAATGTTGATTAAACATTCACTCCAACACTAGCCTTGGTAAAGTAAATGGTAGTTTTGCAGTTTATATATATATATATATATTCCATTCAAACCATCAAAATAGTTAATTTGGAAAAAAAATGATTTGATTAGGAATAAAGCACAAGTACATAAAGTGAAAATTTGCCCAAAATGTAACAGTTTTCTATCTGTAAGTGTAGCGACAATTTAGTTCTCTAACCTAATAGGCATTATAGGGTCATGATAAATACAACAACACAGCACCAACAGAGCGACGAGGCTTTCTCTAGTTCTTATGAAAGAAGGAAAAGTAAAAGACCATGACATGTTTTAAAAAAAATAAAATAAAATACTAAATAACCCTATATGGTAAATATGTTTAAAAGTATACATATATGGTAAATAAGTTTTTCAAGTAAAAAAAACTCCTTTATCCAAACATACATTCCATTAAACAATTCAACCATACACGTCTTCATAAGAAAAAACAAACAAACAAACCCCAAGTCTTATCAAACACTAAAAACAACTGATTGAGTCTAGTCCAGTCCAATGTAAATTAACCCTCAAATGTTCAATATATAAAGCTGATAGTGGAAACAAATATATCAAAAGACCTGATTTGAGCACATATTTGATATAGCATACACTAATTTTACCAAATAAATCGTAATTACTCATATGATCAAATCAAGTTAACATTGACAATTTGACACCAAAAGGTAAATTTGCAAGAGTTGTGTACTACTAGTACTATAAAGTGAGGTAATAAATTGCAATCTGCTTCTTTAAAAGGTAAAAGCATAATATGTACAACACAAGCATGAAAGAACATGAGAACTAAGGAACATGTTCCAAATACTTACCAGATAAATATCCCCAAAGAAATGGTAGGATAATATTGATGAATCAAATTTGAAATTACATTTGGGTTCCTATGCTTTAACAGGCACATCATCATCGTCTTCAATATCCCATGTAAGATCTTCTTCTTCCTCAGCAATGCTCAATCGTTTTCGCAACTCCTCTCTAACAGGGCTGGCATTGCCATGGGAGACCACCTTTTCCTTGTTCTCATCACTGCTCCCTATATCTTCAATCTCATCCCACCCATCTTCTTCAGGTGATGGTTGACTAGAAACAATAGAAATATCACTATCTCTATCTGTCTTCCCCTCTGATCCTGTTTTCACATCAGATTTGGCTTCCATGCTATCAGCTTTTGATTCCTTTTGATCCTCAGTTTTTGTTTCATTTTGATCTTCAGTTTTTGTTTCAGAAACACCTATCTTCTCATCATCATCATCATCTTCTATTTGTGAGTTTTCTACAGATTCCTTCTCTTCAACCTTCAAGCCAGACTCTGTGTTTTCTTCATAATCATCTTCATCTACATCCCAACTCAAGTCTTCATCTTCCTCCCCTGAAATCGCTCTGTTCACAAGCTTAACCCTCGCCTCTTCCGTCTTCTTAATCTTATAAACCCTATAAAAATATCGACTCCAGAAAGAATCTTCATCAACTCTTGCGGGAACAATCTCTTTGTAGATCTCCCCAACTACCCCATTGTATGCATTCATGATATCATTAATCTCCTCTACCTTTTCATCAAATTTAAACCCTAGTTTCCATTCATTATATTCCATAAGGTCTTCAGGATCATTCAAATACGTGTTCATATCACTTTGAATCGTTAAAATTTGAGCATCAAGTCTACTATAAGGTTTAGAAAACCGCAGATTCTCGCTACTGGTGATTCTCTGACTAATATTAGCATCGGTGAGATCACTATCGCTATCAGAATAATCAACGGCCAGCAGCGTATCTTTACCTTGAGTTATGATTTCGGTGACGGTAGTACCTAGGTCGTCGATGGCTTGGCCGACCGACTCGAGCGACTCCTGAGCCAAGCCAGCACCAGCTTCGAGTGAGGTCGGCAGGTCCTTTACGGCTTTGGCGGCTGCTTCTCGGATTACGGCCGTTTCTTTCTTGATCCCGGAACTGAATTCCTCTAGATCACGGCGGTATGTTTCAATGACGGACTCGGATTTGGAGGCTAGGGTTTTCATCAAGCTACTACCGAAGGTCCATGCGGAAGTGATGGTTGGGATGCTCGGACCAGGGTTTTGAGGAAGAGATTGCGGGCTTTGAGCTTCGGTTGCATCCAGATCGGAAGGGTCTGGATCGTCGGAGAAGACGGATTGGAAGAAATTCATGGTGGAATGGAGTGGCTGAGGTGGAGGTGGGGTTTTGAACAGAAATCAGAGATCTGACAAGGGGAAAATGATTAAAAAGGTAACTATGTTTCAATTTTGTAACAAAAAAAAAAAAAAAAAAAAACCATTTAAGTATACCCTATTAAAAAACATCATATAACTAAAGAATTTGTTCAAAAAATACCATTTAAAATCACATTTTGCTCTTTGATTCAATGTGGTAACCGGGTGGAGATGGGAATGGCTGATTTGGCATCTTTTTCTTAATGTGTGGATTATCTAGTTGGCATGGATTATCTAGGATATATCCCCCCTTATAAGCCATCGTTGAAATAAATTAGGACAAACATCTCTACTCCTCTGTAACGACTTCCTCCTTCTTCTTCTTCTTTGGCGTATTCTTCTTCCTCTAAATCCGTCATATCCAAGTCAAGAACCAACATTTCAAAATCTAATATTGGTAGAAAGCGTTGTGAGTGTGGGTACATTGCTCGAATTTGGACATCATCAACCAAAGCTAATCCTGGAAAAAAGTTTATGGTTTGTCCATACTCCTTGGTAAGTTTAGCTTAAAGTTAGTTTTTTATTTCCCTCTCCTAAATAATTTCTTGGTTATGTGACTTATTTTCCTGAATATGAAGGATCGAAATAAGGAAAGTTGTAAGTTCTGGAAATGGGTTGATGATGATGAAGAAGAACAAGAAACAAACTTAATGGAAGTCAAGATTTCAATATTGGAAAATGATTTGAAATCTTACAAGATGAAGACAGATAAGGATGACATGAGTTTTAGAAAGAAACTCGATGAAATGAGCAGGATATTAGAGATTCAAAAATGTTGTTTGTGGATGCTTTTTGTTCTGCTTGTAGTGAAACTCATGATGTAGTATAGGGAAAATGAATGAAATGGCTGATTCCAATGTGTTTTGTAAAGGGATGTTTTTGTAGCTTTAATGGTAATGTAATCAAGGGCATAATGGTAATGTAATCAAGGGTGCTTTTGCTGCCCTTTAAAGTTTATTCTATTTTCTTTGTTTTGTGTTTTTTGAATTGAAATACATTTTAACTATAATGCTAATGTAATTGTAAGTATAAAGGTGATGTATAACAGTGAAGGTTTTTTTGATAAAACAAAAAAAATGATATTGGTATAACAGTGAAGGTATTGATATAAAAGTGAAGGTATTAAACTAAACAGGGGTTTATTGGTGAGGTTGTATATGAACTTAACAAATGGGACAAAAAAGAGGTCATGGTAAATAGGGGTACATTGGTCAACATAGGAAGAAAAACTGTAACTTTGTCCAAGAAGGGGAACAAATGAATGAACTATCTTCTATACAGGGACAGTCCCTTATATTGCAGCAGCAGGACACATAATTCAACAAAAGGGGATAATTGTCAATTTTATCATTTTGTTTTATAACCTGTCGTTTCCGACTAGTTTATGTTGTATTATTATGAGATCAATGAGATGTAAAAACACATGATTACACCAGCATACGGCTGATACTAGTTGGACGATTTTATCCCTTCCAACAGTTGATACATTCACATATAATTACAAAATTTAACAAGCTAAAGGTAATTGAGCAAACTAACATTAAACAAACATTAAACAATAGTTTTATGTGCAGTATGCACCAAAAGATGTGCCTTTAAAAGTTTTAGGCATAAACAAACATAAGTTTTATGTGCATTATGCACCAAAAGATGTGTCTTTTATAGTTTTAGGCATAAACAAACATAAGTTTTATGTGCATTATGCACCAAAAGATGTGTCTTTTATAGTTTTAGGCATAAACAAACATAAGTTTTATGTGCACTATGCACCAAAAGATGTGCCTTTCACAGTTCAGGCATAAACAAACACATGACCTAACTTAAATTAACTGGGTTTCCAATATTATCCCCAGTACCGCCCACCCTTCTCTTCAACTTCATCTTTATGATTCTCTCAGAAGGGCCTTTTCTCTTCTTCACACTGCTAATCTTTCCCTGCTTCCCCCCACATCAACAACAGGTTGATCTGCGACATAACCCTCCTCATGGTCTTCAACTTCATCTGCCACATACTCCTCCTCCTGGTCTTCTACGTCATCCGCTACATACTCCTCCTCATGGTCTTCTACTTCATCTGCCACAAACGCGTATGCTGGTACTTCATGTGTAACTGCATCAAGAGAAAATGTTTGTGTATTGTAATCAAGAAAAAATGGTTATGTATGTTGTAATTAAGAAGCCAACCTTGGTTCAATAATGGACATGTTCTTTTATTGTGACCTTCTTGCTTACAGTGACCACATTTTGGAATCCCTCCCTTCTTACTAACAATATGCCTTCCTTCTTTTTCCGTAGGACATTTCTTCCTGTTCACCTTTGGTCTCCCAGGCAGCCTTCTATGTCTTGGTGGCAAGACGGTATTAGCAACTACAGTTGGCCATAAATCAACACCATTAATTGGATTTATTGTATATCTATAGCAACTTCCAAACATGCATGTTGTTAACCAAACTGAAACATAGTCTTCTACATTCCCATTCAAAAACAATATTGCTTCAATGGCATGCAAACACGGTATCCCACTAATCTGCCAGGATCTACATGCACAAGTTCTATTGTTCAAGTCAACTCCATGTCCTTCATGCAATAATCTGACCTCATATTGTTGTGGACCACTTGGAGTAACTTCCCAATACCTGTGATGAAATGTTATAGTAAATTAATTATTTTAACTTAAGTAAATTAGCTTTTGAAGTAAGTAACAAACCTTTGTGCTTTTTACAAATTCTCAATCCTCCTTCTGATGGAGGGACAGATTGGCAAGTTCCATTTTTCTCCCTTCTTCTTTTGATTGAAAATTCTCTCCATGACATAGACTCTAATTTCTTCAAGCATAGTTATTATCGGTTTTTTCCTTGCCTCTACAATTGCAGAATTGAAGAATTCTGATATGCCATTATCTACGACATCACAACACCTATCTTCCAAAAAAAATGCCCTACACCATGTGCTTGGATCTCTTTCCATCAAGTGGTCATAAGCATTTATGCTAAGTTGCCTAATTTCCATCATTGTAGCTTCAAATGTTTTTTGTGTTGTAGACTTCACAGCAATCCAAAAAAGCCTCTTAAACTCAACACTCGTAAACTTTTTCTTAAAGTTGGCATAGATGTGCCTAGCACATTGCCTATGCTCACTTCCTGGTGCTCTATCCTTTACAGTCTCAACTAGACCTTTATGCTGGTTAGAAATGATTGTTAGCCCTGTCCCATCTCCCATCTCAATGTCATCAAGTAGTAGATCTAAGAACCACTTCCAAGTTTGCTTGTTTTCAACTGCAACTACAGCCCATGCCAGAGGATATATTTGATTGTTGGAGTCCCTACCAACAGCTGCTAATACCTCACTTCTACAAATACCCTTTAGAAAACATCCATCAATAGCAATCACCTTCCTACACCCTTCAATCCAGCCATCTTTGACACCCTTCAAGCAAACATACATCTTCGAAAAGTATACTGTAGAATTAGGCATAATATCTACATCTATTTGGACGGTTGAACCCGGATTAGCCCTCAACAACTCAGCACCATAGTTCCATAGCTTTTCATAATGTCCCACCAAACTTCCCTCAATTTCATCCAATGCAAACATTCTAGCATTTCTACGTTGTCCTACACTCACATTAAGACCAAAATTAGTCTTCACCAACGCTTTCATTTTCCTGTAACTAAGCTTGGGTTGTTCCAATATGTCACGAATTAACATTTTTCCAATCCACCTAAATGTGACAATTGGCCCCATATTTACTGCTCTACAACAATTATGTTCATCAATCAGTGACTTGATTTGGAATGAATTTTCTTGGCTCATCCAAGTAGCCCACAATCTAAAAGGGCAGCATGTCTTTCCTTCAACTTTACTACACCTAACTAATAATCTACTTGCATCATTTTTTTCATACCACAAATTGTAACCATTAGCAACAGCATAATTGGTAATCATTTGCTTAAGTTCATAAGGATCACAAAATTTCATACCTAAGACAGGTTTCATTGAGTCCCATTGTTGGTTAGGATCATGAACAGGAAAGTAAACTTCATATGTGTTGCCACTGTCTTCATCATTAACCCCTCCCTTTGGAATAACATTTGTGTGGGCCAAAAACGGATATGTAGATTTCTTTAATGGAATAACTTCATCATCAAGTTCATGGTCCACTGATATATCATCTGACATGACTGAGTCTACGTCATCCTTATATTCATCACTTTCTGTGTCCCCTTCTTCAGCTTTTTCTTCGTCAATCAACTCCATGTCTGGCTCTTGATATTCATCAATGAACACATTGATTTTACAATCATTGGCATACCCAGCATCAAGAAACCTTACATAGTCATTATCATCTCTTAGTTCTCTCAATCCATCTACCACAGACCGATTTTGAAGACAATAATATACATCAGTGCACCTTTCCGTCGTTAATTTTTGAAGCTGTAAGATGAACTCCTTAAACCTCATGTTTTTTAAATCAACTCCCGTAACAGATTTTTTTTCAAAGGATTAAAGTACACTAATGGCTTAGGGACGAAGTTCCCACCATGGTAAACATCGACAGTAAGCATACCTTGCACCTTGAGTGAAAAATCGGCGTGAAAAGCGAGCCCTAATTTCACCGTCTGTGAAAAAACCTCCAACGTGTTCTATGTGATTTTGATTTTTATGAATGGGTTATTCCACGTAATAGAGGGAGAAGCCACGTAATTGTTTATTTTTTTCTTCCCGGTAACATTTACCTCCTCACCAGCAGAACCGGTTACCACGGTAGAATCAAAGAGCAAAATGTGATTTTAAATGGTATTTTTTGAACAAATTCTTTAATTAGATGGTATTTTTTTAACAGGGTATACTTAAATTGTGTTTTTTGTACAAAATTGAAACATAGTTACCTTTTTAAGTCATTTTCCCATCTGACAATTACCGCTTCTTTGTTTGCGCGTTGAGGTTTTTCTTTTTCTATTTTAAAAATGATGTAAAAAACAAAAAAAAAATATACGCAGTAAATTTCATAATACGAGATAAGTAAAATTTTGGTCGAGTAAGAATGAAAAGATATGGATAGCACACATAAATTTTTGAGGTAGCATACTGAAAAAATTGCACTTAAACCAAATATATTTTCAAAAAAGTTACATTGTTTCTGAAAATTTGAGGGATACTACAGGCTATTCCATGCATCCACATAGATCCTCCCTTGTATATATTTAAGTCAAAAGTTTTAAAATTTGATGTGGTTTATCTTAGTGGTTTCTAGAAAATACATGTGATTTTAAATAATTGATGTGGCTTTATTCTTATGATTTCTAAAACTTGTATGTAAGGTCTTTGAAGTTGTTGCAAATCTAAGAAGCTTTGTTAAGTACACCAGATTATCTTTCTTTTTATCATTTTCTTATTTATCATATATTATAAAATCCATATGGCCCTATTTACCATCCCACCTCAATCCCCGTCCACCTTAAACTCATCATTGACTCAACCAGCCACCATCAACTTCATCCCTATCACCACGGAATCCAATCACAGCACCATTACCAATCACCACCATTATCAATTACCATAACCAATACCACCATTTTACTACTTACACTACTAATCATCAATACTACCACCACCAACACCAATCCACACTACTACATCTCCTAAATATTATCACCATCATATATACCACTAAATCACCCCACTATTAATCTTATCATCACCACCACTTGTTGGCAAAAAAACAAACTCAAAAATTGTAACGGGATAGTAGAAAACCCAACCTCCTATCTCCTCATTTGGTATATTAGAAAAATCAACTAGAAAAAATCATAGGAATAGCGAACCTAAAAAATGAAAGATGGTAGTGGGTGTTGACAACGGAGAGAGAGAGAGAGAGAGAGAGAGAGAGAGAGAGAGAGAGAGAGAGAGAGAGAGAGAGAGAGAGAGAGAGAGAGAGAGAGAGAGAGAGAGAGAGAGAGAGAGAGAGAGAGAGAGAGAGAGAGAGAGAGAGAGAGAGAGAGAGAGAGAGAGAGAGAGAGAGAGAGAGAGAGAGAGGGTTATAAGGCACTGGTGTTGGAGCATAGGAGGTAGGGATGGCAACGAGGTGGGTTTGGGACGAGTTTTGGTAATCCCCCGCGCAGAAATATGAAAACCAATCCCATCACCAACCTACTTTCCAACGGGAAGCTATCTCAAGAAATTATCTTCAAATCGTTTGAAGCAAAGAAGACAATTCAAGGATATATATATATATATATATATATATATATATATATATATATATATATATATATATATATATATATATATATATATATATATATATATATATGAACGGTTTCATGTAACGGGTTCAATTTTGGATAATCGGGACGGATATTTTGTTTATCATCCCTGTAACCAAACATACGAAATTTTCTAAAAGCATACCAAACCCGATTAACTGACCCCAAACCCGACCCTAATATGTCAGTTGTCGGTTTTCACCATCGGTTCAGTTTCTTTTGCAATCCCTAGTAGGAGAAGGGAGAGACAAAGGCAAACAGCCCCTCCTGGCCCTATACAAGCTCAGTTCCCTTCTAAGGTTTAAACCTATCAGCTCATTTGACTAGTTGGAGGTACTATACAAACATGTTATACATAAATTCTAATGTTCATAGTCAACACTATTAGAATCCATATATATATATATATATATATATATATATATATATATATATATATATATATATATATATATATATATATATATATATATTCTAATGTTCATAGTCAACACTATTAGAATCCATATATATATATATATATATATTCATTAGTGCATAAAAGTCAAATCCAAGCTTTGTGAAGCAACAAAAGTTCACACCTATATGAGTAGTCCTATATATATATATATATATATATATATATATATATATATATATATATATATATATATTCATTCATTAGTGCATATTTGTGAAGCAACAAAAGTTCACACCCATATGAGTAGTCCTAGTTCATGCACATATGAGTAGTCCTAGTTCATGCAGATGCGCATGCACTTTATCAATATACACAACTTTCCCCCACTACAATGGATGTATCCATTCGATACTTTTCCGCCAAAACTTAACCATTAAGTTTGTTTCCAATGGACACAACTTTTCTCGTCAAATAATCAAAAAATAACAACCAATTCATGATTTCGGTTCTTGCAGAGTTACTTTTAGAACACATAAAGTTACTTTGCAAAAATTCCGACTCAAAGAACATAATATGAAAGGAAAGGTATTTTGTGTTTGATATTGGATTTTACCTGATGTTGAGATTGTAATTCCTTGGATTATCTCAAATATGATTTTATGATATCCGATGCATCACAATCGATATTACATATTTTATAAAGTGTTTTAATAAACCATTGATATTACATATTTTATAAAGTGTTTTGATAACCTTTGAAATTATTTAGGTTACACTTTTGATATTGTGGTGTTATTTTTCTAACAAGATGGGACATACTTTGATGCATTTTGGATTTTTGACAAACACTAAAGCATAATTTTCTTTCATCACTCAAACTTTTGACTAAATTACACTAATCATCACCATGCCTACTAGATATTTATCAATATAGTCCAATAGTTTGCAGTTTCTATTTAAAAGATCACATCACGTTGCACATAAAAATTATTTACTCGTTTGCACTTTGCAGCACAAGTTCTTTTACCTTTCTCTCTCCTTTATTACCACCACAGTAAACCATCAAATTATTTTCTCACGCATATTTCTTCCTAGTGTAACTATCTCTATATAGTATCTATTTATTCATACAAGCCTCGAATTTATCACTCTCTCTTTTTAAAGTAACTATTCATTTTGACTTTATCAAAATAATCTAATGCTTGGCTTATATTTTTCTCTACCAATATACAAATCCAGATTACTTTTATTTCTGAATAGTCACAGAAAGGTTGCCGAGTGAAACACAGGAAATTCTAAGTTGCCATAAGCCAAAATCTTGGTTAAACTTTAGATAGATCAAACTTTTGGGAAGATAAAAGTTTGGGTCAAAAGTACCAAACATGGGTTTCTATACATTCCAGAAATCATAACAATGCCTCCTCCATAAAAGTCAGTCAAAACAAGAAGATTGTCATTTACCCAAGTGTGTCAAGATCCTAGTAATCAAAACTTCCTTTTTTCCAGCAACAGTCAGCTTGTTAGCTGTTAGGTAGCTCTTCAGCTCCTGTACAGTCAAATCCTTCAACTACAACACAACACAACAAATGTTATTAAAAATATTACTTCTCAAAAAACATAAAAATAAGAGCAGAAAACCTTAAAATTTTTACCTTTCCATCATCTGCAAGTTTAGACCAGTCATAATATGCAGCCTTGCTAACTGCCGCCTCTTCAGTTTTCCTTTTCTTTGCTCCCTTGGCATTACCTGCCTTTTCCTCTTCTTCATCATAATTCTCTCCATACACACATATCTTGAATTCTTCCATTGCTTTAGCTATCCCTGGCCTTCAATCACACACACACATAAACACACATACATGACATTGAAAACAAACAAGAAATGTTTGTTGTGAGTATCAAAAAATTTGAGTACCTACCTAGACATGCCTTCTTCATCTGGAAGAGTTTCATCATGAATTTCAGGCATCTCATCTTCATCAAGAGCCAGAGCCTGAACTACTGCATAGTGGCTCTGTAGTGCTGCACAAAGTTTTTCATAGATTATAACAAACAATGTCACACACTGTGTGTGTGTGTGTGTGTGTAAATTATGAGAGGGGTATACCAGGATTGGCAAATTGACAGACGGAGAAGTCTCTTAAATCCACACGTTTCACCAAAGCAGTTGCCTTTTCTATTTGTTCAGCATTGGCCAATGGCATCATGCCAGAAGTGTCTGAATGAAGCTGCAAAAACCAAAACACAAAGATTTTCTAAATTAAATGATGTGCTATAGTTTTATCATTATATAAATACTTAAAGAGTTTAATAAACCATCTCGCCTCTTCAATAGGTCTTATGTCATCAGAATATGGAAGATATATCATGTGCATTCCTGGTGGCTCAATCTGACCACCACCATCAGTAACTTCTTCCTGTGCTTCCAAAAAAAAAAATTTAATAAAAAAATCATATGACTTAATAAATGAAAATTAAGGTAGGCAGATATGAGACACATTACCTGTGCAACCAGACCAACTAACTGAGGACGCGATGAGCTTCCAAAAAATGCAACTGCAAAACTGAACACACAGAAAGAACAAACTGAATCCTAAAAAGGACGAAAATACCCTTTGCTAGTTCTATAGTAAACCAGTACTAACCGTTTGAGACGTATCATGGATCTGTGAAGAGCAATGAAAATGCAAGTGCTACCTATCACTTCCTGCATATTATATTATTAACTTTGGTTGAGTTATGAGGGTATCCAAATGACATTAAAACAGTGGTATTATTCTTTTTATGTATAGATT